TTTTCACTTTTTGTAGTATGAAGACAAAGTAAAAAAGGGTAAGTAACATACAAAAATCATCTCACCCTTTTCATTTTGTCAGTATAATTGTAAAGGACACTATATTATCGTTTGAGCCAAGGATGGATAATAATAATAATAACTTTTATTTATATAGCGCTCACATCCTGAGCTCATGGCGTTTTAAAACACTGTGCGGGGGACTTTACCAGACTGCTAAGCAGTTTACAATCAATTAAAGACGAATCTGACATATGTCCCCTCCCCCAATTCCCAGTAAACAGGCCAGACCACAGTAATCTCGTGAGTGGGTCCTTTAACGTCCTCTGCCCAACCAAATTAACTAATAGATACAGGAGACGAGACCTACGGTTTATTCGTCCTTATCCGAGTAGACTAGAATGTCTATCCATTTCTTGATGGTATAGAAAGGTAGCACATTCTCCTCAGTTATTTTAAGACCTTGAGTGTTGGTCCGGCCGGGGCTTAAACCCTAGACCTCCCGCACAACAGTCCGGCTCTCGACCAATTTAGCTAACCGGGATGTCAAACCTGGCCTGTTTTGGACTTCATTTTTCTTATCAACCTAAAGATGGTTGCTAGCTAAGGGAACACTCGAATTCGCTTTTTCTCCTCAGGGTTCACTCAGGGTTGAGTAAAGAACTGATTCAGTGCCTGTTTTTTTTTTGTTTTTGTTTTGTTTTCTCTTGTTGTCGAACCGGTTTCACTTATTTCGCCTAACTCAGCGCTGGAAAAATTAAAAATTCATCTTACCAGTCTAACGAATTCAACTTTAGAGCCATTGCTATTTTTCAGAACCGATTTGCATTGTAAGCCAGCCTAAAGCTCAAAAGAAGGAAGAAGGTTCTACAGTAGACTTCCAGTTCAAGGTCCGAGGACAAGGCAATTTGATGTATCAGTGGCTTAAAGATGACAATGAGTTACCAGGACAAAATAGTGATACTCTTGTCCTTAAATGTATTGAGCTGTGTGATTTTGGTCATTACCATTGTCTTGTAAGCTCTCAGGATGGATTTTGCGGGTCGGTGAGGTCAAGCCCCGCTGAACTAGATGTCATACCGGTTGAAAGTCGAAATGGAATGAGTAAGTGCTAAATGCAAAGCTTGTTACTGAGTGGCAATCGCAATCCATCTACTATGGGTGCTCCAGTTGTGTGCCACTAATTTTCTCATCATATTTTGTTGTTCTCTAAGATCTGTAAGCCAACAAAGACTTTCCTAATAGATTATCATGTGTAAGAACCAAATAAAACGCATGTACAATTCAGCATATTATATAACTCATTTTCTCGTACATCGAGCCTACCAACAGACTGTAAAAACTGAATTTTTGTCATGATAAATCTCTAATACAGAAAAACCACATTTATTTTATAAAGTGAGTACAAGCTGCAGAAGTAGATGAAGAAACCTGGCCTTTCTTCAGGAGAAAGTTTGTCTTGTTGTTGGTGATGTGAAAAAACATCCTTTTCAAGGGAACTCTACTGATATTTCAAAGGGAGCAATGCTAAGATGTTTATTATTGTACACACACCGTAAATATAGATATGAAGATTTGATTTATTCTTCCTTTCTACTATCGTCCTTTTTCTAAATTAAAGATGTTTTTACCTTACTCCTCAGGGACTAAACTTTTACAAGAAGTGGACTTATATACCCGTGATGAAGTTGCATGTTTGCTCGAGAACAGTCGATATGGTCTTGGGGGCTGGAAGCAGGTTGCTGCTGAGTACGGCATGAAAGAAAGTGACATAGAAGGTCTTGCCAATTCCAGGGAACGTGGAAAAGACGTCATGGAGTTTCTGCGTGGTAGCAAACCAAACCTCACGGTCTATAGTTTCTGCAAGGTGCTAAAGAAGCCTAAAATAGGTCGTTTTGACATCGTAAAGCTCTTGGAAGGTCACTTTTTACTTGAAAAGGGAATTACGCATTGTTAGATGCTTTCGCAAGTACAATTTTACGCTTTGTATACCTGATCCCGAGAGAAAAAAAACTATTACCATTAGATTTTAATTCCAGATCAAGGTAATGCAATCATTCCAGAAACTATATTCACATGAAAACTGTTAAAAAAATACCTAATGGACGTTACGTTAGATCTTTGAAGCATATCGGTATTTGTCAAATTACCTTTATTTTTTCTTCAAGTTATTAGAATAAGTATATATTCGTCAAATCAAAACTGAAAAACTAACGTTTCAGTGTTTCGTTCCGTTTCCGGCCTAGATTGAACATTAAATTCTCTAACCCTAACCCTAACCCATGCCGCTACTAATCACAGAAGAGTTCAACAAATTCATGCCATTTTCCTTTGACTTAACTGAAGCAACGTTTCAGTAAACAGTCACGAAAGTTTATTTTGAAATCCTTTACAGCCTTGACCGGGATTTTGGTTTTGGCCTGATCAGATGATGATGCAAATTTTTTCTTTCAAGTGATATGGTGAGTCATATTTCTTATATCCGAAATGAATGGATACGGCTTTCATTTTAAATTATCCTACTTGAACCAGATGTGAAATGGAATCTTTAAAAATTTGACTTTCAAATATAGTAAAAACATCGGCGACAATTGTCGGTTTTGTCAAATTTTTCCGTTCTCTAATTAACAAATGGTAAACACCACAGCGTACACTATTGAGTTATGGATGCACGCGGGAGGTTGCTAAGCACGAAAGAAGGGTAAGAGTCGCTCGAGGCGATAGCCGAGAGCGACTCTAGCTTCTTGAGTGCTTAGCAAACCTCCCAAGTGCATCCATAACTCAATAGTGTACGGTGTGGTGTTTACCATTTGTTTTATAACATAACATTGATACATTGTAGCTAAAGAGTTCCCTTTTATTTAACAAATCTTACGTGACCAGAAAATACAAGCGCGCGCGGAAAAATAGTCTTTGCATTTGCTCACGTCAGCAGCGTACACCCATGGGCAAATGGGGGACGCTCAATTGACCAATCAGAGCACGCGCTTTACTTTGGTTATGTTATAATTGCTTACCGTTGGAAGTTACCCTGACTGACGAAAAGGAATTACAGCGTATTGACCGTAAAGTCAAAATATGTATTAATGATCAAGAAAAGACAAAACGCAAACAAAGTTCTATCTATCGTTTCCACCATCAATATAAAATTTAACAGCATGGAATTTTCTTTAGGAGAGATGTTATCGTAAGTTACAGATTAGATCTGCCTGGATATGTGTCAGCCATTTCTTGCTCAAGCTGTGTATAGCTTTTAACGATGAGACGAAAAGATTGGTTGTTCCTTTTTTGTATCCTTACAACCCAAGAAACATTTTGCGAAGAAGGAGGGAAGTTATGAAAGTTCCGCAAAGAAAAGGGAAAATAGCTAATGAAATGTCAATCTTTGTTAAATTTATACATTTTAACCAGTTTACATTAAATCATGTGGCAAGACATTATTCATACATGTCACTTTTTAAATTTGAATGTTTTTGTCAAGCGAAATATCTTCTAGACCACCTCAAGAAAGAAGAACTTGAATATCAGAAGCTTCGGTTATTTCGTAGATCACAGCCGGTTCTCCTTTCCGAAACTCGGCTTTGCAGCTTTGCTCAGTGGCCGGTCAATACATCGGTGTATTAGAAATAGAATTAGAAAACAGTTACCTGTAAACGTCTTGACGTAGGTTCATTTTTGACATTATTTCTCTGCCCGCCCGACGTAAAGCCACTCTTTATCGGTAGACCAGAAGAATTACAACTGCCACCTTGATAGAGAGATTCTCGGTTCCTTGGCTTTGTCTGAATATAACCTGCATTTAAGTACGGCTGCTTTTTTTCCACAGAGTTTTACATTGTTTTGTACGACGTAAATGTTCAATTTGGCTAACAACAACAGTTTAACTGTCTAATTGTTTCCTTTACTGCTTGTTTCACTTCCCTGATTTTCCAGCAGTAAAGAATGGGGTTTAGAGAAGAGTTTAAGTAAAGTAACGAGTAGGAAATGTAGACAATAATAGGTTCGCCGGAAAGCACTCCAAAATGCACTAACATTGGGTTAACACAAATTGGAGAGTAGCAAGCAAATAATCCAAGCTGTATCCATGCTATGGCGGACACTGTTTTCTTGTATCGTGCAACATTCAATGCAGTCGGTACAACGCCGCTGGGGGGCTGTTGTTGTTGGTTGTGAACAAGGCCCTGTACATGAAGCAGTTGTTGGCGAAGACGGAAATAGATCTTGGCGTAAGAAGTAGTTGAGATGATAAGGGAACTAAACAATAAAACAATATATTCATAAGGAAAAAAACTTGAAAAGTAGAGACGTCCAAATGAAGCAGCAACTAAAAACCAACAGAAGATAATTAGCGCTCGCACCCGCCTTAACGTAACAACATGTCTGTATCTCAGACCCAGCAACAGCGCAAGAAGTCTGTCCACACTAATTGCGGTTGATGTCAAGAGCGAGACTCCACAAAGTATAAGAGAGGAACAGACCCGTATCACATCAATGAAGCTGGACACTATGATTCTTTCGTCAATAAGCCCCACTGTAAACAGCGGTTGTGAAATGATTCCAACACAAATATCAGTGACTGCCAGACATCGAAACAAGAGTTTCGTTGGAGGATGAATCAAAGTCACTTTGCGAAGAGCAATAAGGATTAGAAGATTGCCCAGTATCGCAGTGATAGAGAAAAATATGTTCAAGGATGCAAACGCTACTTCCATACCCTCAGATATCACCGGATAACTGAATTCAAAAGGGGAGTTTGTACGTTCATCCACGCTTTTCAGCTGTCCTCTAACAACAGCTGCAGAAAATTTGTTCTCAGAAAGGGAGATGACGGCTAAGTAACTGTTCCTGCTTGTCTTCTTTTGATCGCTTAGCCTGATCTTCTGGGTGAGAGAAGTTCTGAGCAAGACTGTCGTTGGTATGGTAGAGACTGCTGTTTTGGGAACTGCTGCTGAAGCAACCAATAAAGGAAAGTGAAGAGTCTTCGTCAATCGATATCTATAAAACCTCTTTGCGTGCACTGATTGGTCAGTTTTACTTTGACGTAATTGGCCATGAGACTCAAATAAACGGTAGTCGTGTTGATCGGCCCCTTTCTTATTTAAATATATCCTAAGTAAACCGATTTCTACAGCGCAGATATGTGACCATATAGGCTAAGCACACTAACAAACGACCATGCAAATTATCTTGAATTCCACTTCAGCTTTGACTAGTTTAGTTTTGGCCTGATCAGATGATCATGCAAAGTTTCTTTCAATGATATGGGCTGTCATATTTCTCAGTGTGTCCGAAATTAATGGTAGTGCTTTTATTTGAAAAGATCCTGATTGAACCAGCTGCACGAGGGATGGATTATTTTGCAATTTGACTTTCAAATATAGTAAAAACATCGGAAAAAATTGTTGAATTGTCAAATTTGTACGTTCCCTAATTCTTTACCGTTGGAAATTACCCTCAAGGAGAACAGCTTCCTAGTAGGCCAGAACCCGCTCAAATTACTATAGTTCAGAGTGAGGAAGATCCCACAACATGATCGCATCAATCAATTTCCAGGTCATTATCTAAGTGTTGGGGGCAACACAATATTTTGCGGTGCTTGCAGAGAGGTTTTTTCATAAAAAAAAAGGATTTTACCATCCCATTGTGCTTCCAAAAAACACGCCAGTGAGAAAGAAAAGATCAAGAATTCGAAGTTCAGAAATTCGAAGTTCAGAAAAAAACCATTATCAAAGCACCCAGTAGAGAAAAGCCGAGTAATCAAGACAGCAAGTGTGTAACTCAAAATAAAGAAAATAGGATGTTTTGTTAACAATAAATATATAACTTTGGTTTTCGGACTAGTTTTGTGTGTTTTATTTTTAAATATACATTAAGAAAAAGTAGCATAATTTTTAAAAACTTTGAGCGTAATTTGGAAAAAAATCGGGCACTGCTAGTACCATGTTATGCTACTTTTACTAGCACAGTCGTTAAGGGCCTAATGAGCAATAAGTATTAGAACATTGTACACTGGCACTAGGCAATGTTCTCATCCTTATTGCTCTTCACAAAGTGACTTCGATTCGTCTTCCAACATAAATTTTGTTTCGATGTTTGGTGGTCACTGATCTCCAGCATCACCATTACATATATACAGCGGTCCTCTATAATACTTTGTGGTCTCTCACTCTTGGCATCAACCGCAATAAGTGTGGACAGACTTCTCGCGCTGTTGTTGGGTCTGAGGTACAGAAATGTTCTTACATTAAGACGGGTGCGAGCGCTTATTATCTCCTTTGGATTTTCGTCGGGTGTTACATCATTTTTTTGTGATTTTTCTTCTTTTGGATATACTGTTTTGATGTTTATTTCTCTTATCATCTCAATCATCCCTTACGCCAAGATCAATTTCCGTATCCGCTTACAACTTCTACTGGGCCACGTTCACCAACGACAACAAAAGCCTCCCAGCTAGCGGAGTTGTACTGACTGCACTGGATGTTGCACCGGCGATACAAGAAATCAGTGTCCGCCATAGCATGGGTACAGGTTAGATTACTTGCTTGCTAACCTCCTTTACGCGTTACTTTGATGTTAGAAAGTTTTGGAGAGTTTTTCGAAGGTAATATTATTTACCTTCAGCTAGTTTCTTTTTCTTTACCGTTACTTAAACTCATCTCTGAACACCATTCTTTACTGCTGAGAAATCAGGGAAGTGAAATAAGCAGCAGATCGAGGACATAATTACACAGTTAAACTGTTGCTTTGAGCCAAATTGAACCTTTATATCGTTGAAAACAGTGTAAAATTATGTGGAAAAAAAAAAACTGGACCTAAATACTGGTCATACTTCAGACAAAAGAGACAAGGAATTCTCTATAAAGGTGGCAGTGGCCATTTTTCTGGCATACCGACAAAGAGTGGCTTTACGTTGGGCGGTAGAAAATGTCGACATTGAACTTACGCTAAGGAGTAATTACGGGTAACTGTTTTCGAACTCTATTTCTAATACACCGCTGAATTCTACTCTTTCACCGGTTACCGAGCAAAGCTACATAGCCGACTAGTTTTCGAAAGGAGAACCGGTTGTGCTCTAGGAAATGACAACCTTCTGATATTTCTTCTTTCTCATGATGGTCTAGAGGATTTTTTCGCTTCGCAGAAGTATTCCCAAGCTTGAAAAGTGACATGCATGAATAATGTCTTGCCATAAGACCTTTACGTTAACCTTATCAATTTATACAAAGATTGACACTTCACAGGTTGTTTTTCCTGTTCTTTGCCAAAACTATAATAACTTCCCTCCTCATCGCACAATATTTTTAGTATTCTATGGATACAAGAAAGGAACAACTAATCTTTTCGTCTCATTAGGAAGCCGCACACAGCTTGAACAAGAAATCAGTGACTGACACATATCCAGGCAGATCATCTGTATCTTATGATAACATCTCTCCTAAAGAAAATTCCATGCTAAAAAGTTTATATTGATGGTGGAAACGATAAATAGGACTGTGTTCGCGTTTTGTCTTTTCATGATCGTGGCACATATTTTGACTTTACGGTCAATACACTGAAATGCTTTTTCATCAGTCAGGGTAACTTCCAGCGGTAAAGGATTAATAACGAACAAATTTGACAAAACTGATAATCGTCGCTGATGTTTTTACTATATTTGAAAGTCAAATTGTAAAAGATTCCATATCACATCTGGTTCAAGTAGGATCTTTTAAAATGAAAGCCGTATCCATTAATTTCGATCACTTGAAAGAAAATTTGCACCATCATCTGATCCGGCCAAAACTAAACTAGTCAAGGCTGTAAGGAAATTAGAAATAAAATTCTACGTTTACAAACGTAGCTTTCGTTAATTCAAGGGAAATGGCATGAACATAATTTGTTGAACTCTTCGTTTTAGCAGTGGCGGTCTATTTCACCCTGACCGTCCAACAATTTAAAGCGGTACTTCCTT